GAGGACTGATATGAGAGGGGAGAGATTTGAGCAGGAAGTATAGTCAGGAGGCTGCAGTAAGGAATACAGAAGAGAAACAGTAAGGACTCAAACTAAGGTAATGTCAGTAGAGATGGAAGAATAGATTAATTATATAGCTATTCTGGAGCTATTCTGAAATTATTCAAAAACTAACTGAATATGAGAAATTGAGGGGAAGACTAGAGACAAGTTTCTGGCCTTTGGAGGAACTATATCACAAATATTAAGTCATTTTCGTTTTACTACTTTCTTCATTTTTCATGTTGACCAATTAACCCACCAATAAATATTTATGGATTATTAATTGTTTTAATGCCCTGACGATAATATAAAGAAGAGATACTTTGGGGAGTTTAAAATCTAATCGCTAGTACATTCCAACAATGGAATATTATTCAGCCAGAAAGATTCATGCTGCAGAATGGACAAACCTTGAAGACTTGCTGAGCAAAAGAAGCCAGGCACAAAACGTCACATATTATAGTACGTTATGCTGGTATGTTGTTATATGAAATGTCCAGAACAGGTGAACCTATAGAGACAGAAAGTAGTTTAGTGGCTGCTAGGGGCCAGGAGGCATGGCGGGGAATGGAAAACGACTGAAAATGGGTACAGAGCTTCTTTTTGGAGTAATGAAAATGTTCTAGGATTAGATAGTGGTGATGGCTATACAACTTTATGAATAATCTAAAAGCCCTTCTAAAGCCTGTATGCTTTAAAGGGTAAAGTTTATCATACATGAATTACATCTCAATAAAAAAAGCGGTAAGATGTGATACAAACCCCTATTAGTACTGAAAACTCATTCTTCTGTAGACAAAGAACAATGCATATCGCCAAGTTATCATTTGGGCCATAGCAGTAAAGAGGTCTAAGCTATCAGAGAGGTGGTCAGGAAGGATATATGAAGGTAAACTTCAAATTTACCAATGAGGGATAGCTGAATGAACAGAGGAATGAGAAATCATTCCAAGTAAAAGCAATGGCAGGAACAAAAAGGCATGGAAGCCCAAGGCTTATGATAGGCATGGAGACCATCTCCAAAAGTTGTGGAAGAGAGGTTAGGGACAAATTGTTAGAAGCGTAAATATCAGGTGAGGGGGAGAGGGGAAGTATTTTATAGGCAGGTATTTCTTTATGCATGTTCTGTGGAATCTGGATCCTATGAGATACTCTCCATGAAAGGCTTTTGATGTTCACTAAATTTGGAAAACCCTACATACTACAACCCCACTTTGAGTTTCAGAACTAATACTGGTTGGCCTATTAAAGGTTCTGAGAATTCTGCATTAAGGAAACTGATTTAACTTAGCTTACTAACTAACACATGATTTACCAAACTTAACGTTGTCATGGAACTATTTCTAATTGGGAAACACTACTTAAGACTTCTGTAGCTGAGAGGAAGGAAGTGAAGTTCTAAAAGAGTGGTACGGATACCTGGGTGCTGAGGAAATAGTAAATAACAGAGATAATTTAACAGTGAAAATAAGGAAAAGGGGAAGTAGTAGATTTAGTTAAAAATTCTACTAATTAGGAGTTGACCTGTGAGTGACAGTAGAGATGGAAGGAACAGAGGAGAAATAAAAAATGCTAGAGAAAAATAGAGAAGAGAAAGGAAAATTCAAAGGAGGCAGGGAGATATGGAAATAAAAGCACTAGTAATGGCTTATCTTAAAAAGGAATAAAGCAAGTTTTCCTTTAAGATTTGGAGGAAAGATGAATATTTCAATACAGATACAAAGATATTTAGAGGTACGTAAATATGAGCATGGGAAAATGGCTACTGGATGGCTTAGATTATCTTTCTTCCTTAGTTATCTCTGCCCATGCCCTTTCCAAGTACTTGCTGAATTTCTGTTGAATTAATGTTAGCTTTAGTTCTAGCAGCAAAATACCTTTATCTTAAAAAGTATCATGTAGTTATTTATTCATCAAACATTTATTGAGTTCCTGCTATGTGCCAGCTTCCATGCTAGGCAGTGGGTATGATACTGGGAGGCAGAAAAGCACTGCTTCTAACACCAAGGAGCTCATGGTATAAATCAGCATTGTTTTAGGTTTGTGAAGACTGAGAAGTGTAAGATACAGGGATTGCCTCCACCAATTATTGGACTTGTACAGTTCTTAAGTGAATGCTCTTCCCACTTTTCAATATAAAGAATTCCTTCCTACTTATCCTTCAAATATCCCCCATCTGTCTCTGAAGACTTCCTTGATCCCTTACTGCACAGTTAACCACTTCCTCTTTGAACCATATTTTTTACAGCGTTTATTATGTACAATGAAATTTCTTTTATCTCTTTATTAGACAGTTTCTCGGTGTCAGAGACTTCCTCATATTCAGTCCCTCACGTGCAGTCCCTTGCACACGGAGGAACTCCCTCCATCCTACATATACAAAACATTACCTATCCTGTAAAGTTGGGCAAAATACCACCTCCACTAAACTGTCACTGATCTTCCAGCTAGAAAAAATTTCTTCCTCTTCTGATCTCTCACAACATTCTATATCAGTGCTTCTCAAGCTTTAATTTGCATATGAATCACCTAAGGATCCTATTAAAAGACAAATTATGATGAAGGCAGATTCTGTATTTCTAACTGCCCAGGTAATGCCAATGCTGCTTATGTGTGGACATAAAGCAGGTAAAGAATTACTTATTTGTCTGATAGAAAATAAAGTCAAAGGACTGCCATTAAGACACTCGTACTACAATTTACATATATATATATATGTAATAGTATTATTCTATTCTTGCATTTATACACACATGCATTTCATTACTGCTTTTGGATGCAGTTTTACATCATAGACTTGAATATTCAGCCTGGATTTTACTATTCATTTGTTAATTCATTTAATGTCTTATTTACCCATAGTTCTCATTCTTTTAACTTGTACTTATGGACCATGCTTTTATACACATCATCCTAAATAATTCTCAACTACTCTTAAGTGTGGTTTTCATTTTACAGGTGACAAAATAGAAGCCTATAGAAGCTATGTAATTTGCCCAATATCACAGTTATTTACTGAGAGATGGGATTTTAACTGAAGTTTTCTGACAGAATAATATAACCTAACCTATTGACTCCATATATTAAAACAAGAAACCCGGATTAGTAAAATCCCTAAAGTTTATACAAACTTCTCCATATAGCCTCCCAGGATATATCCAAGGGTATACAGAAGAGGATAGCTATAGGTCTAATAATATCTTCATGTGTATCACATTGTACTGCATAAATGTACAGGGTATTTTAACCAAACGACTTGTTTGCTCTTTGTAAGAATCCCGCTGAGCTTTATTACTCCCATATTTTATAATAAAACTGAGGCTCTAGACTGAGATGTCTATAGCTAAGTATAATTTTTTTTCAAAACGAGCAGTAAGTTTGGTCAATGTAAGATATAACCGGTGTACAAAGTCTAATAAAAGTAAAATTTGAAAACGACTAGCACAGAAAGATTCTGGTTACAAAGAGTCTGGTAAGGGACAGAGAAGAGGAAAACAAATTTTCCTGTGCAAATTTTCTGGAGAGATAAATATCTCCAGCACAACTGCTTCCTCAAAACGGTACAAGGAAATCTGCAGAAGCTATTGGGAGCACCTAGCTGGATTACAAGAAGTTTCAAATATGCCTGGGCCCCCTTCTCTGAATACTGAGGTTCAAACACTACAAAACAGAAGGAAAAGTGGGACGTAGGCAAGATATCAGATTCCATGAAAACACAAACTCCACGACGGAAGTTAGTATTTGCAGAGCCGAATCTAATCCCAGAAAAAAGTTATCTATTGACAAGTAACAGGAACACAGGTGCCCTTCCTCGTTTTCATTCTTCGCCACCCACCCTAGCCAATCCAACCCTCCCTGTTCTGAAACAGACTCATTTCAAAAACAAAATGTTAAGTGTTGTAAATGTTGGCGAGGATATGGAGAAAGGGGAACCCTCCTACACTGCTGGTGGGAATGTAAACTAGTTCAACCATTGTGGAAAGCAGTATGGAGGTTCCACAAAAAACTAAAAATTGAAATACCATTTGACCCAGGAATTCCACTCCTAGGAATTTACCCTAAGAATGCAGCAGCCCAGTTTGAAAAAGACAGATGCACTCTTATGTTTATCCCAGCACTATTTACAATAGCCAAGAAATGGAAGCAACCTAAGTGTCCTTCAGTAGATGAATGGATAAAGAAGATGTGGTACATATACACAATGGAATATTATTCAGCCATAAGAAGAACACAAATCCTACTATTTGCAACAACATGGATGGAGCTAGAGGGTATTATGCTCAGTGAAATAAGCCAGGCAGAGAAAGACAAGTATTAAATGATTTCACTTATCTGTGGAGTATAAGAACAAAGAAAAAACTGAAGGAACAAAACAGCAGCAGACCCACAGAACCCAAGAATGGACTAACAGTTACCAAAGGGAAAGGGACGGGGGAGGGTGGGTGGGAAGGGAGGGATAAGGGGGAAAATGGGGCTTTACGATTAGCACACATAATGTGGGGTGGGGGGACACGGGAAAGGCATATATACAAAGAAGACAAGTAATGATTCTATAGCATCTTACTACGCTGATGGACAGTGACTGTAGGGGGGCGGACTTGATAATGGGGGGAGTCTAATAACCATAATGTTGTTCAAGAATTGTACATTAATGATATCAACGAATAAAAATAAAAAAAAAATGTTAAGTGATGTGTGTAGGTCCATCTCTGGTAGGTAAGTCACCCAGGAAAACGTGCCACCAGACGGTGCGGACAAAGCCAGAAGCTGAGTGACCTGGAAAACGCACCACCAGTCCTCCCTCGGCCTCTCGGGCCTCTCGGAAGGCCGGGCAGGGACTGAGTCACAGGCACCTTCCCACCCGTCCCCACCGGCCACAGCCGCCCCAGCACCACAGAGACGCCGCCGCGTCCAGCCCGGCGTCCGCGGTGACGGGCCTTCCTGGGGCTCAGTCTCACCTTCCGCGTCAGCTGAGGAGACAAAGGTGAAGTCTCCGTTGGTGGGAGAATACGCCGGGGGCGGGCCGGGAGGCTGCATCTCGCGGCCCCTCCGAGCCGGCGACAGACGCGGCGGCTGCGGCTGTACCCAGGCCTCGCGGCGCCAACCCGCACACGCGCCTCACGGTGCGGCCCGCGACTCGGGAAGCGCAGGCTGGCAGCGAGGCCGGAGAGCGGCTGTCCCCAGAGACGGCCCCAGCGAAGTCCTCTCGGTGGCGACAGCCCAAACACCACGACGCCCGAGCCCTGACAGGACCAAAACAGTGACAGCACCGCTTGGATTGGCTCTTTGTAATGTGCTCCCCCATTGGCTCCCCGAGAGAGGTTTTGATTGGGTCTCCTTGTTGCTGATACCGGAAGTTTCCGCAAGATGGGAAGTTAATTTCTAATTCGTGCAGTTCATTTGCGTCCTCTCTTTTGTCTGTTCTTTTTACCTTTAAGACTCATCTCTTTATGGCTTTTCTTTGCCTGTGTCCAACGTATCTTGGTAACTGATTAGGTTAAGGAATTTTGGAAGTAGGAATGTTTCTTGGGGTTATTCCTGGCCTAAGGATTCCAAGATTCCGTAGCCCTTAATCTGTAGCCATTTCTACAGATGAAATTGCGTGAGTAGGTAAAGAAGAGATCGTGAATAGTTCTGTATTAATTTTTTTAAAGATTAAATTTTTGTCTGCAAATGTAGGGGGAACCATTAAAGGTATTAGAGCAAAGGAGTGACATATCAGATATCCTTGTTAGTATGATTATTTAAAATACCCACAATAGTGAATGTTTTAAGTAGGAGAGTAGAGATTTGTATGAGGCTTTTACAGAAATGTATCTATGTTTTGGAATAGGGATGCAGCATTGGGGATAGGAAAGAGGAAACAAGATATGAGATATATTAACTTTAAGAATCCACAAGACTTAGTGATCAATGGGAAGAGACTGAAGTGAAGAATAGGAAAGAATCTAGGGTGACGTATGCTTCTTGCTTAGATAGTTGGAAGTATTCATGAAGTGAGAAAATAAAGAAAAGGAGTTGGTTTGGTGACGGAAAGTTTTAGACAACATTAGTTTAAGAACATGCAGGTTGAGCTCCCTGGTTATTTTTTTTTTTTAAGTATAAATGGTAATTTAGAGTTTATTTCAAGGGGCAAAAACCAAATACAATAAACTGAAAGAGTAGAAAATTTTATTTTCTCTGGTTATTCTTTGTATAGTAACTGCACAGAGTTCTGAACTGGAGGTATAGCACTGTAGTCATCAGTACATGGTTGGAAATTGCATCAATGAGTACAGGTGAGATTGCTCAGGAGGAGCTGTGCTGAATGAGAGAAGTGTGCCAACAATGATACTCTCAGGAACACTAACACAGGGCAATCTAAGGAGGGCTGGCCTTCAAAGGAGATGGGATAAATTGCAATTTAAAATAGGATGATGGTCAAGATACGCAAAATAAAGTTGACATTTGAGTAGACTTGAGGGATGTCATCATTTGTAGTGAGCCAATTTAGTTAAATTGGGATTATGATTCCTAGAATTACTTTCCTTGTTTGCCTTCAGCTTAGAATTTCTCAAAATAGCTTGCACAAGATTTGTAGGGTGAAATTGAAGCAGTAGCGTTTGGCACTCCAAGCTGCACTTAGTCAAGCATGGTAATGGACAAATGCTATTGTTCCAGCTTATCCTAACATTCTTTGGTCTGCTTTGAATTCTTCCTCTGAAATACAAGTCCTGTTGACTAACAGGTATAGCTAGCTAGCTGTGGCCCTGCAGAGGTGCCAGCCACCTAGATAAACTGATTTTCCTTGTCAGGCTCACCTTAGCAGCTAAATGTGCTTAGCTTCACAAATCGATTGGTTGGTGCTCTGGTCCTTCTATACCTGCACTCCCTTTTCTATACCTGCACTTCTACAGCCATTATTTTTCAAATAATTTTTCTCTATCCCTCTCTCTCTTCCCCACCACCTTTCTGGGATTTCCATAATATATCTATTGGCCCACTTGATGGTGTCCCACAAGTTCTTTAGACTCTGATCACATTCTTCAAAAAATTTTAAGTCAAACCATTGTAAATTGAGGACCTTCTGTATACATATATCAATTCATTTGGTTGTATGTGTTAAATTTACATAATGTTGTATGTCCATTATATCTCAATAAAGCTGGAAAAAAAATTAACCTACCCTCAGTACATTCCCATTTACTAATCATCCACTAATTCCTATTCATACCAGCTTAGTCTACACATGGGAGTGTTTAATTTACTTAATCCCTCCGTAGGAGTTGACACTGAACGCTCTCTCCCTTTCAAAATGTTCTCTTGACTTCCGTTCCATCTTGGCTACTTTGCAGTCTCCTCTACAATGGCAAATCCTCCACACAGATATTAAATATTCCCAATTTTCCTTGGAGCATGGTCCTAAACTCTCTGCTTTTCTTCCTCCGAGATTACATCCAACCTTAACGCTTTGCCATTTATTTATTATGACTTCCAACATTCTGTTTTAGCGCATCAACAATCTGGGACTACTGGATAAGAATTGCTGCTAGTTTAGGGATCTATTTCACCCGTTCTAACAAAGCCCTTTTTAAACTGGCATCTTTCAATTTAAATGTTTGAGGCTGAACTCTACTATCCAGCCTGTTCTCAAAAAGAGAGCCATCACAACTGAACTCCATTATCCAGTTTGTTCTAAAATAAAAAAAGACCATCACAGAGCCTATTCATGTTCAAGAAACTGGTAATCCTGGGTCCAAACACTCTGCCACATGGATCCTGATATACTTTGATTTTCCAAGTGTTTTTCTTATTCCAATTGTATTTTTTTTAATATATCATCTTATTTTTATTGGGTATGTGCAGTAACATTTTAGGGACTCAGAAAAAATTTCAGTTGTTCAAGTTTTTTTTTCCTGTTTCCTGTTCCCTCATTCTGGGAGTTTTTTGTTTGACTTTTAGTCTCTGTCTTCCCTGTTGGAGGCTGTTCTCAAATTTCGGGTATACCTGTACTGTTCTCTTCACATTTTAGAATGAGGCACAAGGGAGGTGGTGACTTTTTACCTGGCTGACTTTTCTGTGGGTGATGAGGAAAGCAACCGGCTCTTTATTTGTAAGGTCTTTTCTTGGCGGCAGCTCAGTTTCTCCTGACAAGGGTCCTTCAGTCTTCCTCCTGTATAATATGTAAGCCCAGTTGCCAGTGTTCTGGGAACAAAGTGGGATCGGAAGACCCATTGCCTTTGTGTGCTCCCAGTGCAACCTGACTATCACAGCACCTAGCACCCATCTAATTACTTTATAACGTATGTTTTCACACTGTATCGTAAGCCCAGTGACACAAGTACCATGTCTGTATCTTTCCCACATCCCAGGGACCCAGCACAATCTGTGGTACATAGTAGGCACTCAAAAATGTTTGTTGAATAAGTAGAAGGTAAGAGCTCGGTCTCAGGCGAACTGTCTCTGACAATGTTTAGAGGTTTTTTAAAATTAAAGGATCATTGATATACAATCTCAGAGTTTTGTTCAGGATGCAAGAACCCTTACAAGGATTAGAACCCCAACAAGAGCATGTGAGATTCTGCCTGAAGTTTGGATCAAGTCACTTGCATTCTCCCCAGCCCACATACAGCCTACAGCGAAGTGTCAGATTCTTTTTCTCTCAGAGCTAGTCTGCTTCTAGTGACAACAAAACACTGCAGACTAAATGAACAAAATGCAAGCCCTTGGATTATGGGTAATGGTGCTTGTTCTTGGTTCCTGTGTTTGCACACATTTTAATAACTAAACAGTAAGTACTTTTTTGGTATCATTAATCTACAATTACATGGGGAACATTATGTTTACTAAACTCCCCCCTTCACCAAGTACCCCCCACATACCCCATTAGTCACTGTGCATCAGCGTAGTAACATGCTGTAAAATCACTACTTGTCTTCTCCTGTGTTGCACAGCCCTCCCCGTGCCCCCCTCCATATTTATACATGCTAATCATAAGGCTCCCTTTCTTCTCCACACCTCTCCCACCCTTCCCACCCACTCTCCCCAGTCCCTTCCCTTTGGTAACTGTTAGTCCATTCTTGGGTTCTGTGATTCTGCTGCTGTTTTGTTCCTTCATATTTTTCTTTGTTCTTATATTCCACATATGAGTGAAATCATTTGGTACTTGTCTTTCTCCACCTGGCCTATTTCACTGAGCATAATATCCTCCAGCTCCATCCATGTTGTTGCAAATGGTAGGATTTGTTTTCTTCCTATGACTGAATAATATTCCATTGTGTATATGTACCACCTCTTCTTTATCCATTCATCTACTGATGGACACTTAGGTTGCTTCCATTTCTTGGCTATTGTAAATAGTGCTGCGAAAAACATAGGGGTACATCTATCTTTTTCAAACTGGGCTGCTGCATTCTTAGGGTAAACTCCTAGAAGTGGGATTCCTGGGTCAAATGGTATTTCTATTTTTAGTTTTTTGTGGAACCTCCATACTGCTTTCCACAATGGTTGAACTAATTTACATTCCCACCAGCAGTGTAGGAGGGTTCCCCTTTCTCCACAACCTCGCCAACATTTGTTGTTGTTTGTCTTTTGGATGGTGGCGATACTTACTGGTGTGAGGTGGTATCTCATTGTGGTTTTAATTTGCATTTCTCTGATGACTAGTGATGTGGAGCATCTTTTCATGTGTCTGTTGGCCATCTGAATTTCTTCTTCGTAGAAGTGTCTATTCAAGTCCTCTGCCCATTTTTTAATTGGATTGTTCTCTTTTTGTTTGTTGAGGTGTGTGAGCTCCTTATATATTTTGGATGCCAACCCTTTATCAGATCTGTCATTTATGAATATATTCTCCCATACTGTAGGGTCCCTTTTTGTTATATTGATGGTGTCATTTACTGTACAGAAGCTCTTCAGCTTGATATAGTCCCACTTTTTCACTTTTGCTTTTGTTTTCCTTGCCCGGGGAGATATGTTCATGAAGAAGTTGCTCATGTTTATGTCCAAGAGATTTCTGCCTATGTTTTTTTCTAAGAGTTTTATGGTTTCATAACTTACATTCAGGTCTTTGATCCATTTCAAATTTACTTTTGTGTATGGGGTTAGACAATGATCCAATTTCATTCTCTTACATGTAGCTGTCCAGTTTTGCTAACACCAGCTGTTGAAGAGGCTGTCATTTCCCCATTGTACATCCATGGCTCCTTTATCATATATTAATTGACCATATGTGTTTGGGTTAATGTCTGGAGACTATTCTGTTCCACTGGCCTGTAGGTCTGTTCTTG